GAAAATGACTCTGGTTCATTAATATTTGTCGGTGACTAGTAACTGAAAATGACTCTGGTACATTAATATTTGTTGGTGACTAGTAGCTGGTGTGGATGAAAGAATGTAGATCTCTTACATTAAAATGTCGCCCCTGAGTTTGACGTCTCATCCATCTATGGCCGCCTTGTCACTGCTGTCCTGGTCTTTTTCATGTAACCTGCAGGGTGCTTGAAGCACGTTAACCTGACCAGTTTTAGCTGCCCTTTGCTGTGTTTTAGCGTGTCCGTGTCGAGCGCCGCTGTCTGGCATGTGGGACGGCAGCCTGTGATTGAGACATCCCCCCCCCCCTCGCAGAATGCGCCGGGTCTTATTCCCCCTCCGGAGCCACCACCGCCATATATAAAGAAATGCTGAGTGTGGCGGTTTGTCTCCTGCTCTGAATGCGACAGCTTGACCACTGGAAGGCAAAATTACAGATGCAGGCTATGTGCAGTTTGCCAAGGAGCTCGCTAGAATGTCAGATGGTTTTAATCTAAACCCCCCCCCCCCCCCGTTTTTTTTTTCGTTGCTTAACATCAGCCTTATTCTTAAGGCGTGCCTAATTCCCCCACGTAGTAATGGAGTGCTGCGTTTCTCCCGGACCTCCTTTAGTTTGTGTCAACCTGCCGCTGTGTTGAGTTGCAGCGGGGGCCTGACAGAATAGGGTCACAAATCCGCTAATATGTTATTCGTCCTGCCTTTGTTTGTTTAATTTCCTTCCCTTGTTTGCCGTATGTCTTCATCGCCAATGAGGACAGTCAGTCAGTCAAACCTAGTCTAAAAAAAGCCTCCTTTTCCCCTTTTTTTTCCCCAGACACTTGAATAATATTTGTGGAATTTTCTCTGCATGCTAAAGCCCTATTGCTGTGCGAGATGCAGGAAGTGATGCCTGCTTATAGTCATCAGGTTAAATTGATAGGGGAAAAAAAAACAAATAGATTTATTCTATCCGTTCAGAATAGGTCTGTATTATAATGGCGCCATTACATTATGGAAAAAAAAAAACACAGAACAAGAGAATTATGACTCAATAGAATTTTTTTCCCGTCCTCGAGTTGTGATGGAGGAAGTGTCACGTAAAATTAATCCCGAACGTACAGTTATGTGCTCATGAAAGGAGATTCTGGCACAGGGTTTGCCGAGCAGAGGAAGTTTGCCAGCCCACAGCACTCGCTGCCAGGCTAAGAATGCCCGCCCTGGGCCGTCGTGTTAATGCATGTCACGGAAAGTGAGGCGGAGGCAGAAGCAGTGCGAGGGCGTGCACGAGGGCGTGCACACGGTCACTCGTGTCTCAGTACTGTTTGATTTCAGGACCAATTTGCAGGCCTTTTACTTGCCCTGTATTATACAAACATTTCAGCTATTCGGAGACATCGATAAACAGAGAGTGATCGGGAAAAAAAACGTAAAATAAACATGATAGCGCAAAATCTGTAGCTTTTGAGGGCTGTTTACTTTCAGGGTCTCCGTTTACGTCGCACTAGTGCAGATAACCGCTAATTTTGGGCTGGTAGACAGTTTAGCCATTTCAGCCATACGGTCGGTGCGTATCCTGGCTGGGCCACGGACCTGCCGGCCCTCCGGCTTACGGCTCTCAGATAAGAAACGGCAAACAGACGGGGCGACTTATCAGAATGTTTAAACAGCCGTATAGTTGGAAACATTTAAACAAGGAACGCAGTATGTCTGTGATTATCCCAGTGCAACAACGGGCCTGTCGTTTTACCATTAACACGGGTGAAACTGAAACACACAAAAACTATGAGTTAATCTCGTAATGCAATACAGATTTATTCTGTTGTATATTTATGACCTAGTCACAAAAAAAATAAACAGTATAGCATAGAAAATTAGTTTAACAGTATTGTTAATGGGGCTGTGTTTCCTGTTAGGAAGTTAACCACAAAGTATTGAAACCACAAAGCACTGGAATTCCTATTTTCATTCCCAGTCCTAAGGGTAAGGAAACAATACCGATGAAATTGGATCTTTTACATACGTTGCCAGTTGTCTTATTTTGTGAAGTCTGAAACGCAACATTATGGCTTCTGTGCGTGCCAAGCAGATGTAGCTGAGTAATTATGGTCCAGACGTGTTAAAATGTCGAACTCAGGCATTATCCATCGGCTGATTGTTTTAATTGCCCACCCACAATGTCATCCCCACCAAAATAACCTTTATATGAGGTAACAGCTTATTTGGGATGTGTCACAGAAAGGACTGAATTTAGTAACATTAAATTGCCGCAGTCTGTTTCTCCTTTGACAAGAAGTGGACAAAACAGATTGTCTCTGTAAGGTTTATATAAGCTCCATGCTGTAAAAAATTTCCTACATATCTATGCTCTGGTATTTAATTTTTAGCAAAATTAAATTCCTGGAAGTTAATACTGACCTCTTATTTCCCAGAGAGTGTAAGCAAACACTTTGTGTATGTTTAGCATGTTGAAAATCAGGCATAAATCCACATTTTCTGAAGGATTTCTTTCTGGTTTATCTGTCCATTGGCAAATGAAGTGAATGAGCTCATTCCGACACACATTGCTTACTTCCTGTTTCTAAATATCACCTTTC